AGGGGGGTGAGGATGGGTGGGCTGCCCACCCCTGCAAGGTGCCTGGCCACCCCAGCAGCAGCAGTTGCGTCCCCCACCCTGGAACTTCCCACCGCCCTGGGGCCACGGCGCGGGGTGGGAGCAAAGATCCTTCCTCTAGCAGGCAGAGGGGCTGATCTTCATCTGCCAGGAAGGAAATGACCTGGGAGACTTTCCGGGGGATTTCCTGCTTCCCAAGGCATCGGGATGGGAGCAGGGCGATGCCATCAGCCAAACCAGCTCAGGGAGGACCCCAGGGAGACAGCCTCCAGGGCGAGGTGTCATCTTGTGCCCGAGGGACACGCACATCCCCACATCAGAGGTTGTCCTGAGCCATTGGCTCACCCCTAATTCCCAAACGATGCCAAAACCACCCGGTTCCCTCCAAAGAAAGGGAAGAAGGCAGGGAGAAGGTGGCTCCCAAGGCTTGCAGGTCCTCAAATGGTGCAACCCCCTTCCCCTCCTCACCCCAAGCAGCCCCTCTGGCCCCTTCCCACCCAAGGGAGGGCACAGAGAGGTGTCCGTGCCAGGGAGGTAGGGCTTGTCCCTGATAGCTGCCCGTGTTCCTGAAAGCATAACCAGTAACTGCCGGCAAGGCAGATGGAGCACGTTAACCCTAACCAGCGAGTTAGGCAGCAAAACGGGGCAGGTCAGGGAGCCAGGGCTTTCTGGCAGCTCAACTGCAACGCGCTATGGTGCTTCTCTCCTTCTGACTTGGATGCTCAGCAATATGAGCAGCACCCATCTTTTTCAAGGCATGGAGACCTAGAAAACGGGATAAATAACTCCATGTGTACTGATGAGATGAGGTGGGTGATCGTGGGAGGGTTACGCAGGCTCTGGTGAGACGCATCCCTCCCGCTCATCACTGCACGGGATGCTGGAAGCCACTGCCGATCCCTCTTGAAGACAGCGGGCATCTCCGAGAGCTCTCCCCGAGCCAGGTATTCGGCTCCTCGGCACATGTTTGCAATAAACGCTGCCCATCCCTGCTCGCCCTCACCGTCCCACCAAGCCCTGGGGGAGTTTTGAGATAGAAAACCTGGTTCTGGGTAACTTGGGCTGACCCCTGACCACACAGCCTTGGATTTTTCAGGAGGAGGAGAAGAGGATCCCTTTAGGGCAGCCAAGCCAGAGCCGCCCGGCAGCGAGTGCGGGAGCCGGCAGCACTTCTGCCCCGGCGCCGGACTTCCTCTGCCTCCGCGTGATGGGGTGGGCGTGCGCCTGCACAGCCTTCCTGATTTCTCAGAAGCCAAGGCATGAGCTACGGCAGACTTCTTTCCCCCCCTGCCCCTCGCCGAGGGCTCGTTCCCCACGCATCCTCCCCCTCCTCAGAGCTGGCTTCCCTGCGGGAGCAAGGCAGAACCCTCCAAAACCTCCCTCATCCCTGCTAGCCCATGGAAAGGGATGCTCGTCTCCCTGCCCTGGAAGGGGGATCGAAGGGGATGCTGCTCGTCACCCTGCCCTGGAAGGGCAGGCTCAGGCTTTAAGAAACCAGCCAAGGACGTATTCAAAAATAGGAGGGGGTTCTGCTGCCCAAGAAGAGGAGGAGAGATGGGGGAGTCTCTGAAGATGTGGTCATACTAAAAATATTGAGTCTCTCGGCCCTGGAAGGAAACATAAGTCCATCGCTCCTCGTGGGCTACCGATGTGCCTCCTCCTTGACCACCACAGCAAACGAAGCATCACCCTTTGGGGGGCCTTTCCCTGCCTAAAGCTTGTCCCGGGGGATTTCTCCTCATCCTATTTATCTTCGCAGAGCAGACAGCATCCCCCAAGGCCTGCACGTGTTGCCTACACAGGTCCAGGCTCTCCAGATCCCTGTCCTCCACTCCAGCCCCTTGGCTGGGACCAGCAGGGATGCACCTCGCTTGCCAGGACGTGATGCTTTTGCTGCCAGCCTCCAGCCCACTCCACGCACACAGCATCCCTCTCCCAACCCATCCCGGAGAGAGGCGGGTGAGCGCTTCAGCCACCCCATCCATCCTCACCCACTCCACGGGGGTTTTTTTCCCCCCACGTGGCCAGGCAGAGGAAAGCTCTCCCCATGATTTTCCAGCCTCGAATCGTGGGATCGCGGCGTGGAGCCTGGTAATGCCGAGAGCCACTGAGGTCCTGAGTCACAAGCATCTCCTCTGCAGGACACAAAGTTCACCAGGATTGTGAAATCCAAGGCATAAACTGACAAGCAGAAAATAGTTCCTTGAATAAGTCTTCCTTCCGGCAGCCAGTCTTATCTTTTTTTTTTTTTTTTCTCCCCTTTTTTTTTTTTCCCCTTTCGGTAGACATGCCACAAATGCAAAGAAATGAGAGAAGAGGGAAAAAAAAAAAACCAAAACAAAACCAAAAAACCCTGTTCTTGCTGAGGCAGGGCTTTCTTGTAAAGGTTCTCTTTCCGCTCAGCGGGAGCATGAGCAAGCAGAATCACACCCCCGGACAGGGCTGCTCCCAAGGGTGCTGGAAAACCTCTACAAGCAGGCTTCGCTCCGGTCACTGCGCATGAAGTTTTGATTCTTTTTAGGGTTTGATTGGCAAGAAAAATCCCTCGGAGTCACCCATTTTCTGGTTGCAATGGATGGTTTAGGGAATCCCGTCGCCTAAAGCGGCAGCGGGGAGCTGCCACCCCCCCAGTGCCAGCGGCGCCCGTGCCCATCGCACCCCAGCACCGCGTCCCATGAAAGCTTCTTTGCAGCACCTCTCGCCAGCTTCATCTCGAGAATGTCATTAAAGGGCTTACGAGCATCTATGCTTTGGGGGGGCGGGAATCTTCATTTTAATAAATATTTTCTTTCTCTTTCCAAGGACGATGTCTGGAAGACCGACACAAATCATTGTCTTTCTAAACCAATAAAAAATGCTCCAATTTTCAACCCTGCCCAGTAGAATAGTTCTGAAATTTGACGGAAAATTACATTTACACACACAGAAACAGATTTTAAGCCCTACAAATGCTATTTACTGCCTGAAAACGAACCGCAGCTTTTGTCAAGCTCAGCAACGATAACCAGTTTTTGCAGCACGAATGAACTGAACCTTCATCCTGCAGAATTTGAACATTTACGGACTGATAACTACCAAAACGCAACCCTGAGAGGCAAAAGGATGGCAAACGACTTACAGGTTTTGACCGGATGAATCCGAGGCCGAGATACAGAGATAGGTCATGTCCTGCAATACAAAGATGGTTGCGGCAGTAAGATACCTCCGAGAAACACAAAATCCCCCATTTCTCTCTTTTCCCTCTCCCCAGCTGACCCTTCGGTGAGGAGAAAGCTGAAATCCGCTTTCGGGTGCCATCACCCCGCTCCCCACGGGTAGGGAGACCCACGCAGGGTCGCATCCATCCCACCCCAGGCTATTCCCCCCCCAATTTCAGCCCAGAGAAGAGGCCAGGCTGTGGGGAACCTCTACGATGCTCAGGAACCCCCCAAAACTGAGCCACCCCTTCACCGGGGCCCCGACCGGCGAGCCCCGTCAGGAAGATGTGTGCGAACACGCAGTGATGAAGTCGCTCTCATCAATGAGTTATTTCCTCCCGGTCCTTTTAATACACGATAAATCATCCTGCCGCATGTTGGCATAGGTCAGATTACTTTCCTTTCTTTAAAACATCGCTTCCTTGATCCTCCCTATTCTGAGCTATAATTAGAGCCTTTTCATCCGAGTTTGGTTTGTTGGGGGTTTTTTGTTGTTTTGTTTTGTTTTTAAACTTTCTTAGCGAAATGGGGTGGAAATCCTGCCAGCCAGAGCTAAAATGCCCGAGCACCAGGGATTGCCCCATCTCCATCAGCTCCCGGTGGCATCGCTGCTGAAAGGTCCCCCCGGGCTGATGCAGCCCAGCCCCACGGGCCACCCTCGCTTCCCTCCAGCCCAGGGCAAACTGGGAGACTGGAAAAAGCCAATTATTTAAGGAGGGAAGGGGCAAAGCAGGACAAGCGCAGGGATATTTCTGCGCTGGAAAAACCCACATTGCGAGGATGAGCGCGGGCGGGCTTTCCCGTGCATCTCCTCTCTGTCCCATCCCCAGCCCCACCCCCCGCTCGCCCCCGCCATCCCGCAGCCTCTCGTGGGACGGGGACGAGGTGCCGCAGCGATCTGCCACTTGCCAGCTCCCCGTGCATGCCATCCGGCTGCTCCCTGCCCAGAGAAACTGCTGGAGAGGCCGGGGCGGGGGGAAACAGAGGCAGCGGGTTCCTCATCCACACTCCCGGCCAAACCGTGGCTCCCCGGCATGCAGGGGCTGGAAGGGGACCATGCACCAGGCAGGGGTACGGGG